CATATTCTGTTACACCAAATACACAAAATAATGATCTTTAAAAAAGCATCATATGACCCCTTTAATAGGAGACATACACTAGAATCTATAACGTATTTTAAGTGTGAAAGTCCCTGTAAAGGCAATATTAAATATGTATTCTGGGTTTGTCACACCACAGAAAAATTTATTATTAACCACTCAGCCAAATTTGAATGATGAAAAAATCCGCCAAGGAAATTAAATAAGTGATCAAAATCTTGAAAAAATGGGCGGTATCCTCTGCTCTCAAACGCTGGGGTCATGTCCGCTTTTTGTGCTGAAACCATGCCTACTTGCGGGAAAGCTGCCGCCTCTTAACTGTCAAATACCGCTACAGCCTGAATGGATGCTTCTAGCAGCTTAATTGGATTTACAAACCCATTAGTGACAGAGCTACAAAGTGAAAATCACCCCAGCTATCTCTCTCTTCGTTATTCCACCCTGAAAAGCTCTGAGAACCGTTTTTATAACTTTTATTAAACTTCTTCAAATAACAAATGTTAAACACAACCACAATAAATCCAAGCAGCATAAATAAAGACAATTTTAAAAAATCAAAATCAAAATATATAAAAGCAAAATAATGACTGATAAAACTATGTTTTTGCTAGCGAACAACTACAGTGAATACTGTAACATACGTTAAAGTTACTTACTTGACGATGTTGTGTCCTAAAATGCCTTGAAGACTCGAATGCAGCCGCATTTTTTTCTGCTGCTTTAAGGACTGAAATAACATTTTCAAATTGTTTTTTGAAACTTTAAGAAATATACATTTGTGTAAAAAATAAAATTTTATTAATCCAAAACTCACCCTCTTTGTTTTGCCTAAAAGCACAGTACTTAACAATGTGACAATCACAAAAGCATTTAACTAATAAAGTAAAAAAAAAAAAAAAAATTTAAAAATAAAAAAAAACTATCCAAAATTGGATTTCTAACTCTTTCCTGTGAATTGGATCTTTTAAACGGTTATAGGTTCAAAAACTAATTCAGTAATTATTTTACACCATGACATAATTATGTTAACTCTGAAAATTGAAAATGGAAAATTATTACATGCTCTTTTTTTGTTAATAAGAATGTTTACTTGTGTCCCAGATCAGTTGGCTGAAGCCCATAAACCTGTAATTTGCATTAAACATTACCCAAATCATTAATTCAAATTAATGTATTAATTTAATTGCCACATGTGTTATGTGCAGTAACTGCCAAAAGCTCCATCATCCCACTATTCTTTTTTATAGACCTGTTTTACCCATCAAATTAGAGACAAAAAACTAACTTCCTCACTCATATAGGACCCTCTGGCATTTTGTCCACTATCTCTAGGTATTTACGGCTTAATGTGCAACTTTGTAGGATTATTTTTCTTATAAGTGCAGTAGGCCATTAAAGAAGAAGCCTTGTTGTAGTAGCAGCCGCCTTGTAATCTATATGACCATAATTGTATGGGATGTGAAATATGATCGCCATTATAATATCAAACGCCCCTGTTGCTCTTCCTAGCATCTTGTGGCTTTCGGTGATGATGAAACAAAATATTGACACCTACAGTCATGGGAGCAGGTGGTGCTAAATGCTGATAAAACCCAGTTTTAGGTTGATCTGATCTTCCTTCAACTCCCTTGGGCGCAACACATGGGGCCTTACTCATGAAACACGAGCAGAGCGAATTTCTGCGTGAATCGTTCATAAATCCATTTGCTGCAAATTGTTGTGTTCAGTTCAATAGGACAGAGGATAAATTTTTCACAGATATCAATTCTGCTTGTTTCATGAATGAGGCCCATGATTATTACATATTGCATATCAGCAGCGATCTATACATCTCTCAGTTTCATTAGTAATAGAAAAGACAAACCAATCTGACATGCTTGCACCGGTGGGTCTGGCTTCTCTTTGGATTCAAATGCACCTGAAGCGCCTGTATGAGGTTTAATGAATCATAGATGCAAGATGGAGCCAGATCTGTAAGAACAGTGAGGGTCATGATAAATTATGATTAAACACAGTAGGCTTCCTTAAGTATCATTTATTGTAGTAAGATGAAGAAGTTAGAAAATAAATGTATGAATTAGGGAAAAAGAAAGAAAGCTGGAAACCTTTTTTCCCCCAGGATTCTTTGATGAGTAGAAAGTTCAAAAGAACAACAACAAGAATTATTTGTAACATTGTAAATGTCACTTTTAAATTGAATGCATCTCTGCTAAATAAATTCCTTAAAAAATCTTACTGACACCAAAACTTTGAACAGTGTATATATTTCCCTTTTATATTTCTCTATCTGTTTTCTATACATATATGGTTTGTGCTGGCTGACACTCCCCCATTTTGAATCTGGGTTAAGTAACATCAACGAAAATAAAAACAAATGTGTGAATAAACCAAAGGGTCATGGTTTGACTGTTTAGCATGGTCCAATTAGTCCCTGTTGGTAGATGTTGGAACTACACGCTTCAAAAGGCAAAAAAAAAATAAAAATAAAAAATGGCCAGCATCTTTTTATGCAAGCAGCATATAAATCACAGTAGTATGCGTAAGTAAATGTTTCAGCAATGCCAATTTGTTTATGGAGGGGTTTTTAAAGCGTGAAATAGACTTTTCCCCTGTCTTTCATGTCACAGCACAGGATAGTCGCTAGTGAAGGGCTTGGGTCTGTGAGATGAATGGGAATGCTAACGGATGATTCCAGGTATTATAGACTTCCTCAGTATACACCTGTTTTTTTTGGAGAATCTTCTCTGCACACATAAGAACACTTCAACACATTTGTCAGTGAATGGAGCCCATTGAGAGCAGTACATGCTGTTCTAAAAAGCTAAAAGGCAGATTGAAATGAAAAGGAATTTAAAAGGAATTTAATTGGTGCCAAAAAGGGGTTATTATACAACTTAATTCTTGTGATCTCTTGATTACTTGAGATTGACTTTTTCCCCTTTAAAGAGCTGCCTCTCCTTGGGTTTCTTTGAGTTTAGTTTTTCATCTTTATGGTATGCAATTTATATTGCGTTTGGAGGTTGATAATTTTGTCTTGTTTTTGAAAGGTTTCCACTTCAATTACCTGGATCATGCTGACTGATTTTAAACTCAGGACAGCTCAAGGTTGTCATTATTCATGGCTAACTTGAGGCTCTCGGCTGGAATTCAGTAGAAGATCATTGTAAAATTTCAGAAATGTGGTGAATCTGCTCTTTGATTTGATCCCCCCTCAGGTCATTGTCACTGGACTTAGCTTGGTGCTAGGCTAATGAGTAATGCCTGCGGCAGGTTGGTTGCTAGGACATGACCTTTTTGGCGGACCCTCCCTTCTCTCTATTCTTTCACACTCCCTCCATTCCTGTTCTATTTCATCCATAATCCTTTTCTACAGACACAGTAAACTGTCAAATGTTGCTGAGGAGAGGTTGTTTTTTAGCTATGAATCACAGAGAGATGCATGCTGAATGCAGAAAAACATCTACTGTCTCAATAATACAAATATTACCTTTAAACTTTCTTTTTTGTGGCAAATTCTCAAGTACTATATTTTTCGGACATGGTACTACAGTAATTCCATGTTTGGACACTACCATGATGATTAATACCATTTATTTGGAGTACTATATAAATTTCATGGTATATGCATATAGTAATCATAAAGTATCATGCTAAATGTCTCAGTATGGTATTGAAAAACATTGGGGTCCAAACAGCATTGGGCTGCATTGACTTTCATATGAACAAAAGACACTGGGACATTAGAAAAATAAATAAATAAAAACTGAAGTAAATAAAATCTAAATCTAAATTGATTATTAAACACTGGGCTGGGCATCATACACTTGCCAGCTTTGTAAAAGGTTACAGAGAAAAACTGGGCATCATTCACAAAATGACTGAAGATCACATGCTACCAGACTTTCAAGTCATTCTGAACACAACAAACATGTGCCTCATTGCTGGGAGATGCATGAAAATTTAAAACAATATGTTCTAAAATCAGCTCAGAATATCAAAAAAAAAAAAGTATCCTCCGACTGGATGAAATCATAGTCTGTGCCCATCATTCACTACACATTTTTCTGTGAAATCTGACAATTTGCAGACTGGTTCTGACTTCCATCAACTATCATCAACTCCAGAGAGTAAACTGAGGGCAAAATCTATAAAATAAAGAATAGCCTTCAATAGTGTTTTTGGACTGGAGAGGATGTTTTGAGCTCTAAAAGTTACATGTAAAGTGTGTTTTTACAGTACATTGAACACTTTTATCTCTGAAGATCAAGGAAATTCTGATTCTTTAAGATCTGACCACTTTTATTTAAATATTCAGTTGAAGAAAGCAGGAAAAAGAGGCAAGGAGATAGTAGAAACTAAGAGAAATTGATTCAAGAATCCCTGTGGCAAAGACCACAACTGATCACCAGCAAATGTTATGTTTTGGATCCTAGTGTGCTAATATCCTCTTGATCAACCCGCAGAATGGCTATGCTAGGTCCACTAGCTTGAACCAGCAGGGTTTTGAAGCATGTGATCCACAGCCACACTAGACGGTTCTACATTCTTCTCCATTAGAGGTACAAAATCTGCAGTCAGTCTACAGACCCTCCATTTCGATCTTGCCAAAAGCAGTTCCCAAACCTGAAACATTTCTGATCTTTTTTTTTTCTT